TTCTGTAGTTCACCACATAACCCAGAGATAAGGGAGAAGAAAACTGAAAAAAAAAAAATCCCCTGAGATTTCTTTTATGGTAAATGATGGAGTTTTGTGTTCAAGTCTGATTTCTGAGCATGGAAATTTGCCCTTAAATGACCAAATCTGCTCATTTCTTAAGTCCCCATCTCCGGTGAGTCCTGGCAGCGTGCTTGGGAATATGGAATGCCTAAGCCAAGTCCTGTCTTTGACTCAACAGCCAGGCAATGTCCTGGCTCAGGATATGGTCTGGCAACTAAAAAAAAAAAAAAAAAAAAAAAAAAAAAAAAAAAAAAAAAAACTCGTTTTCTTAGCAAGGCAGCCTTGATTTTTTATTGTGCATTCCAGAAGCCTTCAGGTGAGTTTGGGAAGGATGTAGAAAACTCAGGTTGGAGGGGCTTGCACAAGCCTTGGTTCACTCCCCAGATGCAGATGTGGGCTGCCCAATGGCCTCAGACCTTAGGAGATTCACCTTGGGAAAATTGTGAGTAATGGATATCCCCTTGGCTAGGAATCCCAGCTCCATATGTACTGAGGTCTGAGAGCTTGCCTCTCTATAAGCTTCTCGGTGTTTCTGGTGCAGATGTGTAAGTGATTCAGGTCACATTGGGGCAGGAGGATAGATAGGAAGTATCGGGGAGGGTCGGGATCAGAATTGCCTCTTTTTGATTTTCAGCAGCCATGATCTTGCTCAGCAATAGACTCTAGTGGTCCTGGTAGCTCAGATTCAAAGCGCCTTTCCCTGGTTCACTACAATTTTCTTCCTGCTAAAGCCCATTTCCCTTTCTGTGCGTCTCAGTGGCTCTGGATTAGTGCTCCAACTCCCACGCTTGAGCACATTCTGGAATTAGGTTTTTGTTTGTTTCTACAGGCAGAATAAATTTATTGATAAACACAAAATTCGTACACATAAACCTCCTCTTGGGTCTTATTCTTGGTATTTTTTGGTCCCCCTTCCCAGAGTTACTGCTGCAGCACACACCTTCAGGATCATCCATTTCTCCAGGACATGCTTGTTTCCATCATCATACACACGGGTACCCGGGAAGTAAGAGGCTGGCTGCAGAGTGGGTACAGTGTGCTTCTCTGCCCAACTCTGCCCAGCTCTGCTCATCCAGGGGCTGCCATGAATGCTGTAAACCCTGCCCAAGCTGCCCAAGGGACTGGTTTCTTGGTTTATTTTGGTGACAGCTGCCAGCATTTTCATGTCGCTACCTGGCTTTGTCTATTCCATACCTTTGCTTTTCTTGCTTGGACCCCCAGTGCCCAATGTGAGTCAAGTCACTTGCAAAGGAATGGAAGGAAATGTTACCCAGAGAGTGCAAAATGGAAGCTGGATGGGGAGTCGATTTTCCGGAACCGCAAGTAAAACACAGAGCATCCCAGTTGGCCAATACCAGTGGAAAGACTGTAGCGTGTGTCTAATTAAAGACTGCCTGTCTATGAGGTAAAATTGCCTTTCGTCTTCCCATGGATCAATGATTTGAGGCACAGATCCATACAACTTTTAAAGGAATCTTGCAACACAAGTCACATAGACAGTACTAATTCCCTTGAACTGCATCATTATTGCCATTATCAACCGCATCTCTTGGCAGTGCAGAGAAAAAAACCAGAGCCCCCACGTGCATGCTAGGCAAGCCTTTGCCATTCAGCTACACCCAGAGTCTACAGGAAATATCTAGAGATGTTTCCACCAAGAAAACTTTGGTTTTCGATGATAATTTACATCACAAGAGGCAACACAGCATCAATCTTACAGATAAACAGAGCTACCTTCAAACTACATAACTACACTAGCTTTGCATCAGACCCATCACTCATGTTCTGTGGAAGAAAACCGATGCAACAAGAAAGAATATTCATAGAACGTTTACTATATTGTCACTGTTGTTGTAAATGCTTTACATAAATTTTTAGTTGAAAAAAAAATCACCCGAAGCCTATGATGTATAAAGTACGATCTCTTTCATTTCACAAATGACTAGGGTGCAGAGAAATCAGGTCCTGTGACTGAGAACATACTCCTTCCTGCTGTGCATCGGTCCCCTACTTTATGGCGGATTAGGTGACCGATTTCTATAAGAGCTTGGTGGAGTAGCCAGTGTCCAGTAGATGACCATTGCGGCTACTGCATATTTAATGGACGGGTCCATCCCAAATGGAGTGATTTCTCAACTTGTAGGGATAGAGTGCTGATGAAAATTACGGTTTTAGTTAGCAGCTTTTGCTAAGCGTGCACACGCAGTGCCCCTATCCTAACAGGGCTCCCTGGATCTGTTAAATTCACCCCAGCGTCAGCAGCGTGAACCCTTGCTTGCATCCATCCCACTTGTTAGCCTTGCTTTGATTTCTGGGCCAGGAATGTTGCATTCCTGCACATATCTGGGCTTCTGGATCAGCCCGTGCTGATATGGATGCGGGGGGGGGGGGGGGGACTGTTTGTTGCTCTGGACCCCCAAGACCTTGTTAGACCACCTTTGCCTGCTGACTGCCTATTTTTCTTACTAATCATTCAGCGAGGGACTTAGGGATTTGTCCTGGTGCCTCAGAACTAGATAGACAGATCTGCATAGAGTACCAGCCGCTCCAGATCTGGGGTTATAGTTCCTGACTTGCTGGCTTCTAGGGTGTGCTGATGGGGCTTGTGAGGTAGATGAAGGAGTCTTGACAGAGAGAGAGGGGTCAAAAGAAAGGCAGAAGAAAAAAACTAAGAGAAAGAAAAAAATAATCTAGAGAGAAATGTCCTTCGTAGATAGAAACTGTTTTGAACTGGGAAATTCTTTGGGGGAATATGTTACAATGTCTTTCTTTTCTTTTCTTTCTTTCTTTTTCTTTCTCTTTCTTTTTTCTTTCTTTCTCTCTTTCTTTCTCTTTCCTTTCTTTCTTTCCTTCCTTCCTCCCTCCCTTTCTCCCCTTCCTTCCTTCCTTCCTTCCTTCCTTCCTTCCTTCCTTCCTTCCTTCCTTCCTTCCTTCCTCTGTCTGTCTATCTATCTATCTATCTATCTATCTATCTATCTATCTATCTATCTATCTATCTATCTATCTATCTATCTTGTTGGAAAGTTCCTGAGATGAATTCCACAGAGTTACACAGCTATGCATTTGAGGTCATTCCTGGATGAGAACATCAGAAACTTCTCTAACATGTCCCTACTTGCATGAAACCTGTGCATTTTGTGACACTGTTTTGAGGGGACTCCATTATTGACTGACTTTGGGAGCTCAGAATCCCAGCACCCCTGGGCAGGGACTCACAGCTATCAATATGCACAACTGTACTCTTGCTAGATGCAGGGTCATCAGAGAGCATGCCCTAAGCCTGACCGTGTAAGTGCATGTATGTCCTGACCATGAGAGCAACCTCCCAGGGGAGAGCAGAGATTAGAACAGAGATAACGGGACAAGGGACAGACAGACCAAGCGTGCCCTATTTTGTTCTTTACTCATACGCAGAAAGGTCACACGAGGCCCAGGACATCAGCTTGTAGAAGCTGCCGCTCTTTTACGTGGCCTGTGCTTTTCGCTTTGTTTTCGTACGGATGGGGAGCCCTTGCCCAGCCTTGGCCTTTTCCTCACCACAGAAGCTTTGCTGTGTTGCCAACCGAGTCACCGCCACCATCTGAGGTTGTCTCTCGTGCTCCTACAAAAGGCAGCCACCCACTTTTTCTGCCCTGCTCCTCCCCCCTGTCTGAGGCCCTCTGTGCAGAGTTTTAGGAGCCCCTGGAAGCAAGCATGTCTGCCTGTGGGAAGAGGCTAGCTTCAGGTGCGGTCTGTTGGGGATTCAGCTAAAGGAAACTCCAGCTTGTTACCATTGTCGTTCGTTAGCTTTTTCCTGGCGATACTTTTTCCCTCTTCTCTCTCACCATCTTTCCCCCACCAATACTTTTAGTTTCTTGACTCTCATCAAATTTATATTAAATCTCTACTCCAAGTACCTAGATCCAAACTCTGGGTTCAGAAAATTTGCTAAGTCTAGGAAGAGAGGAGAGAAGTATGAGGAGAAGGAGGGAGAGAGAATGGGCAGGCCGGCGGGAGGCGGGGTAGGGGATGTCACAGAATATCATGGCGAGCCACGCTTCCAGAAACGTTACCTCCTTGAGTCATTTAGTCCTTGAGTATCATGTTCTGCGGATCTCGGTCAGTCTATGACTGTGTCATAAAGTTTGATTATCAAGATTAAAGGCATAACTGTGTCTCCTTCTCTCTTTCCCTCTCCCTGCTCTCTCCTTCCCTCCCTCCCTCCTTCCTTTCTTCCTTCAACAAAAACGTTCTGTGTAATCCAAGCCCCACTAGCAGGCAGGAGACGTCTTAGATTTCCTCTGGTGTTTGGACTTTTTTCCTCTTTTCCCTCATGCACGGACTCTGATGTTTGTGGAGAGCTGGGCTACCCTGTGAACTACACAGGCTGCCTTCTTGTCCTGGAGCCCACAGTCTAAGGGGCATCAATCAAGGAAGCTGGTAGGTATAGGAGACACGGGGGGCCGGGGGGTGCCAAGAGAAAATAGAAGGGGGAAGTGTGTCAGGGGTGGAGGTGTGTGTGGCTTTGTATTTGGGGATCCAGGAAGGTCTCCCTAAAGAGAGAAGGTTTGAACGGAGATCTGCACAAGAGGGAGTTCTGCTCCAGGTAGATCCACGTAGGATCCACCCCAGGCTCTGACTGCCCCAGCCTTCTATTCAGCTAGGCTTGAATTCCACAGAAATGTTTACCCCAAAACGGGTGTGAGAGGCAGAGGTCAAGAGAGCCGCTGAGAGTGGAGTGACCCAGTCCTGGGCACAAGTCAGCCTTTAATGAGAGTCCAGGTAACCCTTTGAAAGCTGAAACCTGTGGTCAGGTCTCCCCCAGCAGAAAGTCTCGGGTTTCAGTCTTAATTATGGAACCTAGGAGCTGGCCCAGCCTCCATCCTGTTCAGCTGGGCTTCAGCTTTCCTGGGAAGAGGCCTTCCTGTCTCCAGTCCTGCAGGCCCCAGGGTACTTACCTCAAGCAGATACTGGCTGCCTGTCAGTCAGTGCTCACCATGGCACTGAGTCACCAGCTCACAAGGTGGGTAGGAGGGAGAGGTGCTGGACAGTGTGGAAGCAAGACTGGCCCTGAGGGTTGCCAGCTCAGAGCTGCAGGCTGCCGCTCCAATTATGATGTCACAGAAAGATGGGCCAGCTCTCAAGGCCAGTGGCTATGAGCAGGCCTTTCCTCTCCTTGTCCTCACAGAATTGGTGAAACTCAAGGCAGGGCAGTAGGGTCTCAGAGAGAATGCCAGCAGAGGCCCCCTGGTAGCAGCTCCCAGTTTGGCACTGGATGTCTGTGGTCTTAATCATCTCCAAACCTTTTATTCAATGCATATAGCAAAGGCTGGCATTCCCTTCGACTACGTGCTTGGGATCAGAAATGGTCTAGGCTGTGGAATGTTCCAGGCTTTGGAATAGTTGCATATCCATAATGAGATGTCTTGAGATTGAGGCTGGTGTAAACATAAAGTTGGTTCATCTGTTTCATGTAGTTCTTATGCATAGACTAAAAGCAACAGTACTTGCCTGTGACATGGGGTATGTATATGGAATGTTCCACTTGTGGCCAGATGTGAGTGCTCTTAAAGGCTATGCTTTAGAAAATCTTGGATTTTAGGTTTTTTGGAGTAGGGAATTGCCAATCTGTAGTACTATTCCTTTTCTTTTTATTTATTTATTATTATTATTTTTTAATGAGACTTCAAGACTATCAGGCAGTGGTCAGAATCCATCCTGCATTGACTTAAGAATCTGTGTACGTCACAATTTGGTCTTACCAAATTGTGTGGTATGGGGTATGTGTATGTGGTGTGTGGTATATGTGGTGTGTGTGTGTGTGTGTGTGTGTGTGTGTGTGTGTGTGTGTGTGTGTATGTTTTCCTTTGATTCCAGTAAATGTTAACAATTCCTTCCTAGACTCTCGGGGTATAGGCTGTGTGGGCAGGCCTTCACTTTTACATGTCACCCACCTGAGGTGCAAGAAAGGACCCATGGCCAGGCAGTGGTGGTGCATGCCTTTAATCCCAGCACTCGGGAGGCAGAGGCAGGCGGATCTCTGTGAGTTCGAGGCCAGCCTGGTCTACAAAGTGAGTTCCACGAAAGGCGCAAAGCTACACAGAGAAACCCTGTCTCGAAAAACCAAAAAAGAAAGGACCCGTGATCTCATACATGAGTCTTAGTGACCCTTCCTCTGGTTTCGGGATCCAGGCATGTGAGAAGAAGCCCCACACCCTGGCAGCACACCGGTCAGATTGACCAAGGGTCCTGACACTGATCCCAGGACTTCCCTATTTTCTCCGAGGTGGCCTCTTCCCAAGGACAGGGCTGAAGTTAGTGGCCACCAGTGAGTGAAATCCTGGGAAGGAGACATTAGACAGGAGCAACACGGGCCAGGAGACCCCTTGCCTTTTTACTTCCAAATCACAAAGCCATGAAAGTCCTTGTCCCGTTTCACCATTGAGGAGGTGCCTCCCCTCACTCCCTCCAAAGCGACTCCCACCAATAATAAGCGAGGTTGTTCGTATTCACAACTGATAATAAAATACTCCAAGGTATTAGAAATGCAAAGTGACAGCAAAGCTGGCTCCTATCTTCTGACACCTAATTTGAAGAAAGGAGCATTTATAACATCATCCTGTTTGAACATGCTTCACAGAGGGAAAACCTGAAACTTTTATCAAAGCAGGAGTGTGTTTTCTTTATTCCACAACACAGGCAGTGCCCGCTTTTGTACCGGCGAAACCAGCTGTGGCCCGTCCGCAGGCAGCAGCCACATGCAGGTAGCTTTTAAAGTGTGATGGGGGGTTTCTCTTCCCTTTGACCTGATGTCCATAAGTAAAGATTTTAGGACACGGAAAACCTTGAGCACTGACAGAGGGGCCCTCCCCCCAGGCAAATGACTGTCTTGAGTATGCTTGCTGATGCATTCCTCAGCCTCGCCTCCTCAGGGGTCCCCAGGGCATCCCAAAAAATCTGACCTGGCTCTTTGTACATATCTTTTCTCCATAAATCACTCCCCACTCCAGGTTCCTTGAGCTTTAGAGGACTCAAGCTATCTTTGTAGAAAGGTGTGACCTGGCCCAGAAGGTGAAGGACGAGAGACGTAGTAACAGGCCTTCCTAGGATCTGCAGGCAGTGGAGGTATGACTGGCTGCCTCACTAAATAAAATGTTCTGAGTTCAGCTTCTCTGCAAGCCCAAGAGAAGAAGCCTGGGAGCAGATGCACCTAGAACTTCATGGTGCCCACAATTTTGGGAGAAACAGTTTGGAGCTGAACTTGGTGATGCCATTTTTGAGATGCCGGAGCCAGAGCCAGGCTGGGACTCAGAAATCAACCAGGGTCCCAGAGCCAACCTGAACTGGACTCTGTAGTGGGTTTGGTTACAGCTTTGGCCCATGTGAACTTGGAGGCTTCCGAGGGGCCTAGCTTCCCGGAGCCTGTTTCTTTTTCTGGAAATAATTAGAGTCACATTTCTCATCTCCTGGGTTCCTGGGAGAAGCAAACGACACAGACTGTGTGCAGGCACTTCCTACACTCCAAGGTGCTCTAAAAATAAAAGGCATTATCCTCTAATGAAGATGAATCTCGGTTCACAAATTCAGTTTTACGGACTCAGGGATGAATTTCTGTCCACACTGGATCATCAGCTGACTTTCTATTTCAAGCACTATCTAGGGTTGCTGGACTTAGCAAATAAAAATACCAGACGCTTAGTGCAGAGCATCCTGTATTGTGTTTGACAACTTTACCCCCTCCATCTAGGCCACTAAGGAATCTCTGGAAAGAATGACCCTCCTTCTAGGACGCAGTTCTAGGGACTTCAGCAGTGTTAAATCAGCCACCAAAAGTAGATGGAAAACAAACTCAAATTAATAGTTCCAAATGTGTTCCAGCCATAATTAAAATGTTTTCTATTTACCGCACACTTAACTATATCAGACGTAGTGGTATCTCCTCCCAGGCTTTATGCTACATCTGTAACTTGGGGATGGGCATACTGAAGACATGAAATAAGACTATATTTTATCCTATTTTTCAGTAAGACATACTTATAAAATGACTGTGATGCCAAGGAAAGGCAGATATCTGTCTCATTTGAGAAAGATATCTTACTGAAAAGTAAGTGCTCGATTAATGCATTGGCTTTTTGGTTTTGTTGTTGTTGTTGTTGTTTTGTCTTGCTTCTTTTTAAAGGTAGTTTTGGTGGCCTGGAGCCACGCAGTAGAATTTTAAGATTCTGCATCAGTCAGCTGCCTTTGCAAGAGAGGAGCTCCTGTCAATAATCGAAGCTGATCAAACCCTTCCTCCCTGCATTGCTGTGGTCCTCCTGCTTTGCTGTGGCTTACACCTCACTGGAATAGATGTCTAGGTGGAACTAAGGAGCTGGCCCCAAAAAGTGCACCTGGGAAGGAGCTGGAGGCTGCACACAATGCTAGTTCTTCAGCAAACAGGGAAGTGTTTGTAACCGGACTCCCCATGGTGACATTTGGCGTCGTTTCCAACTAATGACATCTTTGCAAGAGCCCTGCAGAGCTTGTCTGCTGACTCTCCCAAGTTATGATCACCCGGAGACCCAGCTTCATGGGATCTGGAAAGTGAATTAGCAGGTTGCCGCTCCCCGAAGGTGCAGGGTGGGTGTGATGTTCAGAGAGCAGATGGGAGCGCCGCCTCATCCTGCACCTTTCCCGGACCTTTCACGCTTGCTGTGTGCGATCTCTCTCTCTCCTAATTAACCTTTCTGCTTTTTCTTCAAAAGGCGGTCATTTTTGCTCACATTGACATGCTGCCTTGAGTGTAGAAAGGTCAAACTGCCTTTGTGCAAATCCCAGCTCAGCCACTTACCAGCTGTGTGACCTTCCACCAGTTACTTAATCTCTGAACTCCAGTTTCCTCATCAGTTCAGTGCAGATCATCACAGCACATAAATACCCGACTGGGAGGGTCGGGTGAGAAATACGCCCAAGTGTTTCTGCAGCACCCGGCACATACGGGCTCCGTAAACAAGTTGCTGATGCTGTTTCTGGAATAAAAGGACGGTGAGGCAATGGAAAGGCGGAAATCTGTCCCATTTGAGAAAGAAGACAGGCAAAGAGTCCCCATGAAAGTCACAGTCCATCTTCTAATAAAGAAATCCAGCCAGGACCTCACTTCCGGTCCCTGACCCACTGACCGATGACACTGTATTTCTCTAGCTTGTGCCATGTGCTAGCTTCTGCTGTGATCACAGCCTCTGTGCCAAGGCTCAGAGCTTCCTTGCATAGCCAATGCAGTCGTGCCCCATGCTTCATACACTCCCCCTTGTGGCAGGATTTTCAAAGGCAAGGAGTGTAATTGTGTGTCTGTGTGTGCACACACCCACATGCTTGTGCACGTACAGAATAAGCACAGTGCAAAAGGCCATCTTCTGCTCTGACAGAGTTGAGGGAGAGAAGCTACCGACGAGATGTTTCTGCTCTGAGAAAGTCAAGGTTGTTACAATTTTAACAGAGCAGGTTGGGAACCACCAGTGAAGCAAATAGGTTCCGATATGCACTCCAAATCTTGCACCTTGAGGTACACACATATGCACAGGTGCCGTGCAAACACATTTACATTCTCACCTATCCAGAGACACGTGTACCAACACTAACTAGTGCAACATTAGAGTCTATCACTTGGGGCTCAACAACTGTGTAGAACAAAGCTGGAAAGAAGGAGCAGTTCTGATAGTTCCTAAACCAGGAAAGGAAACTGACGGTGAGTCTTGATGACGGAATAAGAGAAAGCCGCAGAATTCTGAGGTCTGGAGAGTGCACAGGCAGCTGTTGGGGTAGTGAGGGCATAGCTATATGACATGAACAGCGTGCCATAGCACATACATGTGGTCTCTGACTGAGGAGGCTGAGGGGTCAGGCGTAGTGTCCAGGAACTGGAGTTCTCGGGTAAGAGACACCCAGATCCTACCCAACAAGTTCTCTCTTAGGGGATTTTAGAAGGGAGGAGCCAAATGGAGGTGACAAGGTGTTCTCTTGTCAGCTTTTTGAAATCCTGCTTCTAATAGGAACCAACAGATGGTTATCAGTTCTCTGTGCTCAGAGATGTAGGAATAAGTAAGTGGTGTGTATGTGTGTGTGTGTGTGTGTGTGTGTGTGTGTGTGTGTGTGTGTGTGTGTGAGAGAGAGAGGGGAGGGAGGGGGAGAAATGCTGGCTTTAAATTTTAATTGGTCTGCAATGAAAGATTTAACTGTTTAAAAAGCACACCGCTCTCGGTCCCAGACCACAGCTCACGTGCTGATGTGGGATGCTGGGGCGTAGTGAAGAAAGACGTGGAGAGAAGCAGCTTCCCAATGGATCCTGTGAGGGGCTGTGCCCTTGGGAACCAGCCTGTGAGATACCCAAACAGGATTCAGGTCCAGCTCTTTGGCTGTCCCATGCTTTCAGTGGGAAGGTTGACCTCTGCCCTCCTTACTGGAAAGAGAATCCTATAATCGAAACAGATGGTTAGAG